AGAAAAAAAAATATTAATTAAAAAAGAATAAAAAATTCTGAAGAAATATTATATTACTTTTACGTTTCATAGATACGTGATTTTAATATAGAACTCGATTTTATTAAAATAAAATTATGAATTGAATTGAACTTTAGAAAAGAAAAAATATGCTAAATTTATCAATCGACTTTAACGTAAAATTTGATTTTATTAAACTAGAATCATAAATTCAATTAAGTTTTAAAAAAAAGTTTAATATAAAAAATGCATAAAATATGAAATAATCCTATTCGCGAACGCGTGGCATTGTGGGAATATTATTTACGGAAAGTTACTTCATCTCAGTTTTTTAAATTTACACCCCTACACCCATCACCATAAGAGCATTTTGAGTGACAACATGGTAAAATTAAAATACTAACATAGTAAAACTAAGAGCCATTCTCGAAAGTTCCTAGTGAACCATCGAAAATAACTCAATACCCTAATAGTTGTCCTCTTGAGCCACATGTTGTCTTCGGCATATAGTTTCTTCTTTGCTTCGTGCCTCAACATAATCGATTATCACTCTAAAACTGTAACGACAAAATTTGATTCCAAATTCTAAGATATGAAAGAAAACCCTAATACAACACTAACGAATCTGAAAACTTATTATTATTCTTTCGAAAGATACTTTTTCGCTGCGTGGAAGAAATTAGATATTAATTATAAAAAAATGAGAAATTAGATAATAGTATATTAATTGCTGAAAATCCTGAGCTAAAAAATAATTAATTTATCATCTAGGCTTACGTACTACGTCTCTTTGTCTTTTAGCAAACATTCTACTCGATTTTTCTCTTTCAAAACCAATGAGTCTCTATCGAGACTTTTTTATATCAATTTAAATTGATTAAATATTTAATTACTAATTATTTAAAAATATAAAGCAAACCCTTGGACGTTCCTTCTTACAAACGAATATTTTAATTATTGTAATAAAATCATACACAGTTTCGTTTGTAATCCAGAGACTATCCATCGCGAATGTCTTCTTACTCGTTCCTTATTAGAACTTATAAATATCGATTCTTTACTTATTTCCGCGCGAGTAAAATATTTAAAAATGTATTAAAATATTCAAAATCTCAAATAATTATAAACGCGTTTGAGCAAGAAGACTCTATCCTGATCTAATAAATAAATGAAAAAATAAGAAACCATTCACGAGTAAATCTCCGAAGAAATTTACTCGTGGTCACTCAATGCTCTTCTACTAATTAATTACAACCAATCACCCGTGCTGATTCGGACCTTTCGTCCTCGACATGATTGAGTGATTGGAGGGACTTAAAAATTCACTTACTACTTAAGAAGTTCTGCGATGTCTCCAAAACACTCGTTCAGATCGAAATTGAGAGCGGACGATTCGTATGTGGTTGAAAATTAGGTAGGTCGACATCAAAGTTGATCAAGAATTTCTTCAATGATGCACTGACTCTATATCGCGATAGTTATTTTTTAACGAACGGTCACTGAATTTACTTCGCGAAACTCTACAGTCTTTTATAAATACAGCCTATGCAACTGTTAAAAAATTATTACAGTTTGTGAACAAACACTGACTCTAACGACTGCATTGCACGCAGACGTTGCAAAAACTTTTGCTTTTTAAATCGCGAAACGCGAACGAACAAACACTGCTTCTACTTCGCGATATTTATATTTAAGAGATACAAATATTCGATTACAACATTGGTTCCCGAGCGATTGCAATGACGTTCTGAACCAACAAAATAAAAACAAAATTATTAATATCACCGTTATAATAAGAAACTGTATAAATTATTAAAGAAACGTAAGATATAATAATATATTTACCTTAATATTCGTTGATACTTGCAGCGAAGACATCTTGAGACACTTCAGATGTTTACTCGTCAAAAGAAAAAGGAGAAATGATTCGGTAATCGCGATTTAGAATTTTTAATGTTTAAATAAATGTACCATAGTTTAAATATTACTTGATTCTATCCCGCGTGCAAAAAAAATCATTTAAATAATTATTAAATTATCGATAATATTAATTTAGAAGCTTTAGAGTCTAGAAAAGTGAATCGCGATGTGCACAGGTCGGAGAGCAAGAGGAAACTAAGTCGCGAACTGTCAAAGTCGTGAAAAAGTACGTTTATGTTTATATAACACGAGGCAACTACTGCGAAATTAAAATTTTAAAGTAATAGAAGTTTATATTAAAATTATTTTAAGTCCCGCGCGCGATTCACACTTTTAAATGTTTAAATAAATGTATTGTTGTTTAAATATTACTCTACTCTATCCCGCGTGCAATAAAAATCGTTTCAATAATTATAAAATCATCGATAATATTAATTTAAAAGCCTACGCGTTTAGAAAAGTGAATCGCGATGTGCACAGGTCGGAGAGCAATAGGAAACTAAGTCGCGAACTGTCAAAGTCGTGAAAAAGTACGTTTATGTTTATATAACACGAGGCAACTACTGCGAAATTAAAATTTTAAAGTAATAGAAGTTTATATTAAAATTATTTTAAGTCCCGCGCGCGATTCACACTTTTAAATGTTTAAATAAATGAACTAGTGTTTAAATATTAGTCTATTCTATCCCGCGTGCAATAAAAATCGTTTCAATAATTATAAAATTATCGATAATATTAATTTAAAAGCCTACGCGTTTAGAAAAGTGAATCGCGGTGTGCACACGTCGGAGAGCAATACGAAACTAACTCGCGAACTGTCAAAGTCGTGAAAAAGTACGTTTATGTTTATATAACACGAGGCAACTACTGCGAAATTAAAATTCTAAAGTACCAGAAGTTCATATAAAAATTATTTTAAGTCCCGCGCGTGATTCAGACTTTTTAATGTTTAAATAAATGTACTATTGTTTAAATATTAGTCTATTCTATCCCGCGTGCAATAAAAATCGTTTCAATAATTATAAAATTATCGATAATATTAATTTACAAGCTTTAGCGTCTAGAAAAGTGAATCGCGATGTGCACAGATCGGAGAGCAATACGAAACTAACTCGCGAACTGTCAAAGTCGTGAAAAAGTGCGTTTATGTTTATATTACACGCGGCAACTACTCCGAAATTAAAATTCTAAAGTACCAGAAGTTCATATAAAAATTATTTTAAGTTCCGCGCGCAATTTAGAATTTTTAATGTTTAAATAAATGTACCATAGTTTAAATATTACTTGATTCTATCCCGCGTGCAAAAAAAATCATTTAAATAATTATTAAATTATCGATAATATTAATTTACAAGCTTTAGCGTCTAGAAAAGTGAATCGCGATGTGCACAGGTCGGAGAGCAATACGAAACTAACTCGCGAACTGTCAAAGTCGTGAAAAAGTGCGTTTATGTTTATATTACACGCGGCAACTACTCCGAAATTAAAATTCTAAAGTACCAGAAGTTCATATAAAAATTATTTTAAGTCCCGCGCGTGATTCAGACTTTTTAATGTTTAAATAAATGTACTATTGTTTAAATATTAGTCTATTCTATCCCGCGTGCAATAAAAATCGTTTCAATAATTATAAAATTATCGATAATATTAATTTACAAGCTTTAGCGTCTAGAAAAGTGAATCGCGATGTGCACAGATCGGAGAGCAATACGAAACTAACTCGCGAACTGTCAAAGTCGTGAAAAAGTGCGTTTATGTTTATATTACACGAGGCAACTACTCCGAAATTAAAATTTTTAAGTAATAGAAAGTTATATTGAAATTATTTTAAGTCCCACGCGCAATACATACTTTTTAATGTTTAATTTATTGTACTATTGTTTAAATATTACTCTACTCCATCCCGAGTGCAATAAAAATCGTTTAAATAATTATAAAATTATCGGTAATCATTAATTTATAAAATTTTGTGTTAAGAAAAGTTATTCGCGTTGTGCACAGGTCGGAGAGCAATACGAAACTAACTCGCGAACTGTCAAAGTCGTGAAAAAGTGCGTTTATGTTTATATTACACGAGGCAACTGCTCCGAAATTAAAATTTTAAAGTAATAGAAAGTTATATTAAAATTATTTTAAGTCCCACGCGCAATACAGACTTTTTAATGTTTAAATAAATGTACTATTGTTTATATATTATTCCATTCTATCTCGCTTGCATTAAAGATCGTTTAAATAATTATAAAATTAACGAAAGTTTTAATATATAAATTTTCGGGTTTAGAGATAGAGAGTATCGATGTGCACTAGTTGGAGTGCAAAGAGAAACTAACTTGCCAATCGTCAAAATTAATCGAAGCTCCGTTTATATTTATATTGCAGAAGGCCAACCACCCCGAGATAAAATTTGTAAGTATATTTTAAATTAAAATTATTTTAAGTGTCTCGCAAGTTTTCTCCTTTATAATGTTTAAACGTATCTATTATTTTTGAAAAATTACTTTATTATGCCTCGTGTACGTTAAGGATTGATTAATTATGTATAAAATTACTGAAAGTATTAATTTATATGTTTCCTTAAAAAGAGATGGTTCCTTGCTATTTCCATTATTGTTAAATAACTTTCTTTGCTCATATCATGCCGTGCTATAAAGTTAAAATATACGTCACGAACGAAGAGTGTACTCTTAATGTATCGTATCCTCTTTCAATGAACGAAGCTTTCGATCAATTTAGATAACAAATCCTGCCTTTTTCACCCTCGAGACAGCATCACTAGTCAACGATTTCGTACTAGAGCATGGGCCGTATAGATCTCCCGGTATTCTTCAGATTCAATTATATATTATGCAATAAATCATTGGAAATATGATATATGTTATGAATAAATTTGGATGTTTTTCTCGTTCTTTATTTTTTTTTTTTTTTTTTTTTATTTTTTATACCTTCTTCTCCTTTTGATATCACTTATCGATCATTTCATCATACCCATATAAATACATATTCATATCCTTTCGATCATTTTACTTTTTTTACAATCGAATTTTGTTGGAATCTTTTTTTTCGGGTCGAGGGGGAAGAAATTGTTTGTTACTTTTCTTAGTATTTATTTATTCATCTTTATTTATTTTTCGTGAGGGAAACATCGTACACTACGTAGAACACAGAATTTCAATGATTCCATTTGGAAGGAAGGGTCATTTCATTGAAAAGCTATCTTTCTACATCTTCTTATAACTTATGCTTCGAGCGATTTTTAATACCAATATATAATCGCAAATATTATATGACTAGAAATATAATAAAATCACTCCTATACTCGATTATACGTAATAATAAAAAATAAACGATTAGAGAAATTCAATATTTTCCTACGAGGTAACTAGTTAAAATAATTTAGTAGAAATTTTTGGATAACTAGAAATATAATAAGATCATTATTGTATTTTCAAATTGCGTAACAAGAAGTAAATTTTTAGAGAAATGTACTAATAAAAAAAGGAAAATCAGTGACTGATAAAGTACGTTTCCGCGGAATGTTGGACATTTAAAGGAATGTCGGGCATTTAATAATGAAGATAATATGGTTTTATTATCAAATTGTGTACTATGATTTGCGGCGAGGAGAGAGAACAATTCCTCTCAGTAGCTAAATTTCTCAACTTCGAGAAAATCATTTTTACATATAGAGATACTAACACACTGTGTGCGTGACGCACCCTCTTCCATTCTATGCGTGGCGCAACCTCCCCAACTTGTGCGGAACGCATACGCCCACGCATTCAAACAAAGAAAGGGAGAGGATGATAAAAAAAAATACCATAAAGAGGTATGAAACAACATGAAAGGGTACGTATTACGAACATATTACGAATATATTACGAAGGTAGTAACTCAATTCCCAAGTAAAATTGATGAAGTTAAATATAATCTACCCTGACGTTTATTTCGCTTCAAATTATTAAGTCTCTCAAAAACGTACGCGAAACAGATATCATATAACATATGTGATGAATATTGGAAAAATCGTTAGGAAATATTGAATTTCATATTGAATAAATATGTATTTTAAATGGATGGATTAACGATAACACGGTGATGAGTACGTAGATACAACATTTCTCGTATCATTTAAAAGTATTCCCGAGGAAACATTATTATTTTGACAAACAATAAAACCATTTATTGTCCCTGAGGGTTTAATCATTTTTAAATTCAAACCTCCCTTAGTTTCACTCTGACTCTTTCTGAATTCATTTTTCAATTCATGATTAAACATTCCACTCTCATAATCATCTCTATTCTCGGTACCATCCTTTGTTATTTCCATATTTTTATTATTTATCTCGAGCATAGATTTAACTTCGTTTTTATGATACACCGTGTTAGGTATTTTCGAATTTAAATCGAAATCTGCTAAATCAGTGATAGGCCAGACATTAACATCTTTTCGATTGGAATTAAACTTATTTCTGGAATCAGCATTGTCGAGATAAAATCTATAGTCCATTGAATGATAAACGAGCCTGGGTTCATAATCTTTACTCTCATCTTCAATTTCTTCTTCTTCTTCTTCTTCTTCTTCTTCTTCTTCTTCTTCTTCTTCTTCTTCTTCTTCTTCTTCTTCTTCTTCTTCTTCTACTACTACTTCAGCATCGATCAAGAAATTTTCCTTCTTAGAATCATCGTTAATTTCCTTAAGAGTTTTCTTATCATTTCTAATTTCACCGATGGTCTTGAAATAAATACTATGATCGTATCTATAATTTGCTAAACAAGCGCTATCCAAATTATCATTAGATCGATATCCAAGAACACTGTTAACATTATTTTGATTGATCTTCATTTTCTCTTCGTGATGAGATCTACGTCGATTTCTTTTGAAATTATGAAAACACGGACTCAAAGAAGAATCCTCGATGATAAGTTTATTCGAAGTTATATTCCAATTTGATACACGCTCGTCGAGCATCGTCTGACGGCCCTTCGATAATCTTTCTGACTTAAATCGATTGTATCCTCTAACTAAAGCTGTCCACCTTTCGATCCTTTGAAAAGCGTATTCTGTTTCCTCGCTCCACCATTCGGATAAACCTTTATGAAATTGTGCCATATTAGTTTCGTCAATGTTCGTTGTCATCGCCATTATAAATTTTCTCTTCTTCTTCTTCTTCCTCGTTCTCATTCACATAACGAACACGATACGGATTTTCACGTATTACTTAAAAACAAGTACGATGTCTGTAAAGGAAATGCCTTGTCTTTAAATCAGGCACGTTGATTTATAGTATTCCGAAGAAGCACTAGGAAAGTTCTGGAAGCCATTGATAAGTTTAGTTAGTATAATTCCGGTGACCCTGACCGTTACGCATTTTAATATGTGCTTTTCGAACAGAGGACAGTTATATAGATACGTAGATATGTATTATTTTCTTTTTTTCTTTTTTGATATTGGACCTATGCCGAACCTTTGAGGTCATCGCTGTTGCACCAATATAAAAAATGCGTTTGTTAACAAGCAGAATGTTTTAAGTCTTGTTGCATAAAGTGAGATCAGGTTCGGATCAAGTCGATTTAGATTAGGGACGATTTCGTAAACTTATTCTGCGTCGCACGTAAATAATGCTCCAATGCAGCGGTTAGGAGACGAAGCAGCTATATGCTGAAGAGTCCCCTAGAAACTTTGGCTCGAGAGAGAAACTATCGACCAGTCATATTTTACAGATGGGGTCGGCATGTCGAACCCTTCGTTACTGGCTTGTGATTTTATCAAAATCCCATTTAACCTTTTACCACGTTGACACTTATGCTCGTAGTAATGTAGTAGTAGTTTGATCCTGAATGGAGATGATTCAATTGCATTCAATTTTTTTCAAATTAGAGTCAATTTTTATAATTTTAAATAAAATAATAATTCTATATAATCGATTTTAATGTATTAATAGTAAAGTCTTAGCCCCGGGGCTCTCCATATGCAGCAAACCTCCTTGTGGTGAGACCTGGAAATCGATATTACTTACGATATATATACCGCAAGTACTATTGAGCTAATGGCTCTGTCATATTGCCAGTGTCCGGCAAAAACGAGTACCATGTAACATGACACGTGAGGCATACGGTTCGGAGGCCCAATATCGTGAAATATTACTTAATCGTTAGTAGTTATTGACTTAATTTTAAAAGTTAATTTATAAAGGAGAATAACAATGGACAAATGCATCACTTTTCGTTTAGAAAATAATTCTTAATAACTGTCTCTTGAAACAGTCCTGTCTCTTGAAGTAAAGCAAAACTGGAAATGAATGACAATAGGTGATGAATAGGTGAATGACAATAAGGTGCAAGAATGTTTGCGCGAGAAAATTTCCTTGAAAATTACATTTGATTATGAAAAAGAAAAAGAAAAAGAAAAAAAAGTGTATTGCATTCATGGGGATGGAGCTGACGAAATAATAGTATCCACTATTTCAAAAGATCGAAAAACTGTTGGATTATTTGGAATATTTTGGGTGATGACTTTTTAAAACCATGCTGATCTCGATTTATCGTGAAATCTTATATTATTATGATTCAGAATTTAATCCTGATTTAATGAAGAACAGATTGTTGTACGGCAACAAATATGTAAAAAGTTTGTTTTCTCTTTGATCGAGGACGATTCGAGATCGTCGACAATGATTTAACGAATTGATTGGCGACATGAATTATCCGCAGGAAGTGTTACTCCTGCCTAAGAATAATTAACGGTAATTCATTTTGCGGACAATTTTAGTAAATCAAACATGCTGGCCTTGTACTGGTTAAGCGAATATCGTCGAGCAAACGAATTTATTGTCGGTGGAGTCATCGATCCTATTGTAAGCAGCCAATATTTCCTTCGATATTTTCTACTTTAATGCTATTTTAATGCTTCTTTACCTAAAAATTTCATTAAGTGCCGTTTCATAATTATTGCAATAAATCATATGTAAATCGATCTGAACTGTTAAGACATTTAGAATTAACAAAACCATTTAGATTGGTATAAACAATTTGACTTTTGTTAAAGATATAAGTGAATAACAAAGTGTGTCAAATTACGGGCGTGATTGCTCGACCGTAAACATAAAGTTTTTTATCTACACCATCGTTAGTTAACTCCTATTTTCCTCTCTCAGCATGAAGCTTATCCAAACAATTGACATGCTTATAACCCTTTTATACTATACCCATTCTTTTGTTACAATCAATAATGTTCATCTTCTTCGATAATTTTCTTCAAATATAAATATGTATATTTATGTTCGTTCGTACGTCATTATAGAAAAAGTAAATTAGTTTTTTTTCTGCTTAATTCTAATCAAGAAACAGCCAGCATAAGAAACATTGCCTATTACCGCTCGCGCAAGACGACGATAATTCGGCGAAAATAAATAACAAATCAAGTAGAAGTCCTCTAAATAATACAACGGCCATTATGCAATTATACATTATCGAATATTAAGCTAAATTATAAAGCAGAGGTGGACAACTGGGGCGGCCAAGAGGCCACATGGCCCGCACCTTTACTTGCCTTTACTTACTCCGGGAGAAGACATTCCTTCCCCATTATTTGACTCTGCCATGCCTTCTAAGCTTATTTTTATTTTTTTTCTCTTCTTTTTCTTCTTCTTTTTTTTTTTTTTTTTTTTTTTTAGAGATAGTGAATTTCGTATCGTGTAGCCCACGGCAGGAAAGTTGCCCATTTTTTACTTAAAAAAAATAAGGGGATAAAAATGTGCATGATACAATATCTTTAACAAATGATCGATAAGACGAAAGAGAAGAAGAATAAATAATAATTAATTTTTAAGAAAACAATCTAGCTCTCCGTATTAGTAACTGTCGTTGTTTTCTATCGTTTCGACGGTATTCTCTACCAGGGAATGGAAACTATCGATGGAGATGGATTTGTCGGAAAGCTATCGTACACTGTTTAATAAAAGAAGCTACATTCTTATACGAAGAGCAAGAGATAGATCCAGCGCTAGCGAGTGCCTCTAAATCCAAAATAAAGTAAAATGCCTCGAACAAAGTGTACAATTAACGAGTTTAACAACAAGGCCGAGTCCTTTTGAGTATTTAATCAGAGCACGCGCGTACACACACATACACACACACACACACAGACACACACACACACACCTCTTTTCACAATAGAAATTCTACCTGTTTCGTTCATATGTCTTAACTATGATATTCAATAGGTACAGAACGTCGAAACAGATCTTGATTTTTGTTCATATAATTATATGCTTCTGCTGGTTTTGGTTATAATCCAATAAAAAGAACGCGAAACCGATCGACAATTTATCGTTCGAATAAGATTGTTTTTCTACAAGAAAGGTGGTTCATAATTAAGAAAATCTATATCTCGACCACCATCTTCTAAATGATCATCGGATATTCTTCTTCTGGAAGCGTCGTACTCCTCGCCTAATTTTCTATACGTTTCGGCCCTGTTCTCCAATATTTCTTTGATGATTTCTGTAAGGAAAAAATTCGATCAATAATTGACTGATAGTAATCTTGGAAATTCGTTAATTTTATATTTCTTTCAATCGAGACGAAAAAGGAACAATAAGAACTATACGTGCAGCGTTCGTGCTTTATTGTCAGAGACTTGTCTCTATATTCCTCGTTCAACTTTTTCATTATCTATAGTTAATGTTGACGTAGTTCTAAAAGGTCATTAGTGATGATAAAAGTACAGAAACATTCCTCTTTTTTTTTATAATTAATTGACGACGATACTGTAAAGCCTAAACTAGTACGACTCGTAACGTATCAAGACGTAACTTTCTAGATATGGAAAAAAAAAATTTGAATTTACCCATTAGCAACTCTCTGCTTTCGATCATGTTACCCATCTCCTTTTTAACTTCTTTCATCAACCATGGCATGAAACCTTCTTCGACATCTATAAATATTATTATTATTGTATAATTTTTATGAAATAAATTATTTTCGAATATACTTTGAAATTCATATACCTGCTTTGATCTCGTCCAGTAGGAATCCAGACATTTTTAAACCTTCTAGAACGGCCGGCAAAAGTTCGGCGATATATCCAGTAAGTAATACGGCAACGGCGACACGATCTTCTGTTTCTTTTTGAATTTTCACTGCTTCCTCGTGCTGCCTCAAGCAGAAATCCTAAGGACAGAAAGAGAAATAGAATTTAGTCGTTTAGGTGGAATTTACTTGAAGTGATTTACCAACCCTTTCATGGTGGAAATATATTTACAATTATAAACTTTTACCAATATTCAGAAACAAGTTAAAATTAGAACAAAGTATTTAGCGTTAACGAAAGAATATTCAAATTAAATATTTCATTACTTTCTCTTCTCGAAGTCTTCTCTCTTGTTCTTTCAATCTCTTTGCCTCGGCTCTTTCAGCAGCTCGCAATTCCCGGAATCTTCTTTGTTGTTCACGTAGAGCCGCAATTTCTTCCTCCTCTAAGACCTCGATCAAAGCTTGCTCGATAGTCTTACCAACGATTACTTCAAGAATAGGCTGTACTTCGAGATCGAAGTCGAAGAGCTGCAAAACGATTGTTCTGCCGAGAATCTTCGTAGATATACGAAAGACTGAATGTGTCTTCGTAGATATAAGTTACCGTTGAAAGTTTGAAAACTGTTCAGGGCAAGGTTCGACTTACGTCTCCTGGTTCAATTTGTGTAGAGACATCCTCGCCGGTTTTTGCAGGACAGTACTTCGGCGTAGCCGGTCGATCCAAAAAATAATCGGTTTGTGTGCTGACCTCGAATTCGTCCGGTTTCTCGAATAGCTAGAAATTGAAAACGTACAAAGTTGAAGAATTGATTTTTTTTTTTGTTTTTTTCTCATCGATATCCAAAGAAGCTTTTATTTATGTTTCACGGGCTATAAAACGCTATAAAACGAAAATAATTTACGCGCAGACTTTGAAAGCTTCGTATAGAAAATATAGATGACGGAATGCGATTATGAAAGAAATCAATAGTTTGAAAAAATACGTTTGCTTATTTTAATAATTTTTCAAAGGCTACGAAAGAAAATAATTAATGGAAAGTTTTTATGACTTAATGGATTAAAACACTATAAAAAATATCGGACTTATGATGAATAGCTCTATCATGATAATGCTCGATTATAAAGAATTAATATTTTTCTCTATCTCACGCGAGTAACTACGTTACTTTGATATCGCTTTATAAAATCTTTTTTGCGCTTACTTCCTCGAGATAAAATTCAGTTTGGACCGGTTCGTGCTTCCGGCCAGCGACTGGTGGTGGCGAGCCCGATCTTATAACTTTGCAAATTTGAGCTTGCGCCCTTTTTCTTGCCAGATGCCTTCTTCTTGCTTCCGCTTGCCTTGCCGCTATCGATTGTTCTCCATCGATCTACAATGTTCGACGTAAGAAAAGAAAAAAAAAAAAAAAAGAAAAGAAAAAAAATGAAATACAAAATACTTACGAGGGCAGGAGGGACTGCAAAGGTGCTCCCACGAATTACTCGGCGATCGTACATGATATTCCCGAAAGGAATCGTTTGATCACTGTAAATTTGATTGCGAGTCACACAGATTGCCATCGAGTAATTATTAAACTTTCGTACTTTGTAAAAAAATTCAAACTTCCTTTTAATTATACAACTATTTACGAATTAATTGCTTTTCTTTTTTACTTACAAACTCTAACAAATGTCTTATATTTTATAATTCAATAAAGGATTGCAATCGCTTGTTATAATTGTCAGAATTATATCTTTCTTCAAATAATTAAAAAATAAATTATATTCGACATATAACATACGAAAAAGTATCAAAAATAGTCACATGTCCGAGCATGAAGAACTTGAATTCGTTTGGACTAAAACGTAAATCGACGAACTAATTATTCTTGCATCAACCTGTTCCTTCTCCGTTCTCTAAATATTTTCCTGTATTCTTTAAAGTGTAAGACAATTCTCAAAAAAGAGAGTTTCTATCTTTCTTTTTCCCCTTTTATTTTTGTACTTATTTATTTTTTCTACGACTACTCGACGAATAACCAGTGTAGAATTTCTGTTCGGGCTACGTCGTGACGCATAATGACACGAGCGTGTTTAGAACCTATTCGCATGCGATCGTTTATGCGATTGATAAGAATCCATAGAAAGAGAAAAAAAATATGTTGAGAACTGGAAGATTCTGAAAGATTTTTTTATACAAGAAACGCTTTCGGAGAGACAAAGAATACAAAACAATTCTACCAATTACTGTTCATTAATTACTTAATGTTTAATGTTATTATAAAATTAATATTTTGTTTTCGTTCGTGAAGCATGTCCATATTTAAATATCGACGATCGGCGATAAAGGATTGATAATAAAATAAATAAAACAGAGAGAGAGAGAGAGAGAGAGAGAGAGAGACAGGAAATTGAGAAAGAAGAAGATGGAAAATAGTGTCTAAGAAAGAGGAAAAGAGAAAAAGAGAAAGAGAAAGATCGGTTACCAGCCGCGAAGGCCAGGCAGCTTATTCAGCATCGCGCCCTTGATCGGTTCCAACTTTGTCGGTAAACCTCGCGGCGTCGTTGGTAATCTGCGAGAAAGAAAAAAAAGAAATCGCGGCCTTATGGACTGCCATTATCTCGATTCGCCCTTAGGAAAATAAAGCTTTGCTTGAGCTAAGTAAGGAAGGAATTAAAAAGAGAAAGAAAGAAAGAGAAAATAATGGACGAAACAAGAACAGACAAGACGAAAGAAAGAGACAGATAATGAAGTTAGAAATAAAAGTAAATTGTATCACTGATACAATGTACAAAATAAAGGGAACAAAGAGAGAGAGAGAGAGAGAGAGAGAGAGAGAGAGAGAGAGCATAAGTAGGGAAAAACACGTAAGCAAAAGATAGAAAAAAAGGAAAAGATAATAAAGGAAAAAAGAAAGAAAGAAAGAAAGAAACATGAAGCAAACAGGGGCCACTCGTCGAACTTACAGCCCGTCTACGATGATCGGAGACCTCCTGTTTCTCCTAGCATGTTCCTCGGAGCAAGAATAGGAGGCTAGGGTAGTCGCATTGGTCTTGTCAAGTGCGAAATCAACGGTGGCCTTGAGGGCTGCCGCTTGACATCTCGCCTTATGTTTGCTATGACGCACTTCTGGTTTCTTGCCGAATGACACCAGAGGTCTCAATTTGGAACGGGAAGGACCTTGCCAATTATCAATTACCTCACCCTGAGGAATACCACCTATTGTTCTTCCGACAATATCCTGAGTGTTCGTGATCGGACCGATGCCAAGAAGTGCTGCTACTTCCGGTGGTGGCATTAGAAACTCTCCGCACTTAACCGTAGTAATGAATGGTTTTCTTCGTTGCTGAGAAATCGACTCGTTCCTTCTCGAGTCTCGATACTTTTGCATAGATTCCTCGTCCTCTTGGATCTTCCTCAATTTAGCGTTGAGTACCTCGTTGAAATCTTCCGTTGAAAGAGGAATACTAGTTCTTTGTCCTTTCTTTTCTTCGTTCTCCACATTCTCCTCCTTGTTCTCCCTCCTCCGACGTTTCTCTTCGTCCTCGAGATCGTTCTGACTCTTCGTATACTGTTTCTTCCGTAACGGATTAGCCTGATTACATTGGAGACTCGCCAAAAGCAAATGCTCGTTTGACTTACAGAGACGTCTACGAGCATACAGATCGTTCTTTACGTTCTCCACTCTAGTCAATTTCGAAACTGAATACGTCTCTTCGTCGTCGTTGACATGTAAGAGAGGTAAGCTCGAGTCTAAACCGTCTCTTTGAAGGATCGTAAAAGCTCCCGAATTTTTTCCCTCATTATTAAACGATCCAACGTTTGCGGTTGGCGCCAACATTGATGAAATTCCAGTTGGCATGGCGAAGAGATCACTAATTCGTGCTCTTCATCTTCATGTCTCGACGTATGCAGGACGCATTGTCCTTTCGGCGGCCTTTAAATTAGAAAATCAATGTCCTCTCCCTTCGAGACGTCGCAGGAATTCGATGATTTTCAAAATGATCTTTATTTTTATTACTCATTGGTTTACCGTTATGCTCTCTCTCTCTTTCTCTCTCTCTCTCTCTCTCTCTCTCTCTCTCTCTCTCTCTCTCTCTCTCTCCCTACCAGAAAAGCTAAGGTTTCAAACGAAAGAAGACTCAATACAGAAGTCTGTTGTATAAGCTCGACTTCCTACGCTGTATCAACCTCGTCTATAATTCAAATGTATCGGCTACGATAGTACTTTCTTTAGTTTCTTTTCTTTTCCATGAAAAAATCTCTAGTATTTCTTGATAAACGAGAAGACACAAATGCTCACCGAGAGAAAAAGAATAAGAAAAGTATCTCAGCCAAGGTTCGCGCCGATACTGACCGGCTTGAAATCGTTCGTGAGAGTTCAGAGACTGGACAATGTCCTTAGAATCGAACGATATAGACCTCGAATAGTGGGGGGTTGTTCATATACGTATATACTACATATATTGCTATATATGCTTTTAACGCTCGGCGGCCACTCAATAACGCTGACCAGCCGTTAACGTTGCGCATGCCTGAGAGGGATGACTGTATGTATGTATATATACGTGTATGTATATGTGTATATGCGTAAATACGCGTGAAAACTTAGAATTAATTCGTGCGAATTCTCCTGCGTTTTCTTCGCGACTGACCTAAACGCAATCTCTAGATCTGTCCCTCGACTTTCACGATATTTCAAGGTGAAGCGTGCTCTATCTATATTTAGTTAAAATCAGATCGTTAAAATAAAATTTCGAAGTAATTTTCGTTCGCAAAGACGCGAAAAAATGAATAGTATTTATTTGTACATTCCTCGTTGAAATTTAAAAAGAAAATTATTCAAAAGAAATACTTAAATTTCTTTCCCTTTCGATCGGAATATCTAAGTTTCTCTGTCCTTGAAGAAAAAATATGAATTGCGTGTCGCGTGAAGTAAGAAGAGCGATCACAATGATAAAGTTTTGCGATTACGAGGGTGCTTTTTTACTCGCTTCGAAAAATAATTTCATTTTAACTATTCAATGATTAAAACTAGTCAATGATTTACTTTCGTTCAATAATATCGAAGAAGTCAGGCGAATTGTAAATATTTCAATATGACGTAACAGTATCGACGGATCACACTTTGTCAATTTTGCGTCAAATAAAAAAGAAAAATCGATCTTCTGAATTATCAATTTCCTAGAACGAGATTCCGATTCCGTGTCTCAAGCTTCACTTGGAAAAATTCAGATAAATATTTATTTCATTAAATAAACAATCATTACGAATGCTTACATAAGAGATTTCCATCAATTTTAATTATCATGGATCGTTAATTAAAATAACAACTAAGTCATATTTCGTAGTCTCAACGTATGATCGTGAACATGAGAGAGAGAGAGAGAGAGAGAGAGAGAGAGAAATGACAGCCGATAAAATCATGGAGCGCGGTCATTCCCTCCTGTGTCGTTTATAAGCCCAGAAACTACTACATGCGCACATATATATATATATATATATATATATATATATATGCCTGTACATGCGTGTGTGCGCGCGTGAATAACTCGCTTCACGATCTAGGACCACGGGTATGGTCGTTGCATTATCGATGTTCCGTACGTTTCCAGTTATCGATGGCGACTTTTCCATTTTTCCTTTTTTTTTATACTCTCCATAGTATTAAAGCCCAATAACATACGCGAAGGATCGTTTTATGAGATACGAATATGAGAAAAAAAAAAGAAATGGTTTCGCATGACTTGTAACAAAAGTCTCGCTTGCCATATCTGTTTTAATAAACTTGACAATCGATATTTCGCGCTCGGTGGTATCCCACGAAGTCAAAGTTTACGTGGTTAAAAAATCTTAAGTTCTTTCGTTCGTTTCTCAACGAACTTATTACAAAGATAATATCTAATCGTTTCTCTAAGTTTGTTCTTTACAGTAAATCGATACGTGATCGTCGAAGATAAACAGAGTAGTTTCTTTTGATTATTATATATTTTTAAAATATAAATTCGGGAAAGAAGAAGATGAATGGAAATGGTGAAATGGAGTCAAGGATATTTGAAAAATGTGCAAACTAATGAAATCGATCTGTTTGTTGAATTACATTTATAATTTAAAGTTCTAATTCGTTTTATTTTCTGCCGTAGATTGACTTCTGTCCATCGATCATTCGCGAAGGATCTATCTATTATTTCTAGATTCTATCTATTATTTCTCAGATGAATTATCGTTCGTTAATCGAACATTCCTCGATCGATACACGTATGCTGTGGATCGACGGGATCGGTATTTAAAATTAATACAAACGATGTATATACGTTATTCGTAAAACGAAAGAATATAAGAAGAAGTTACACTTACATCGGTGGATTTCTGTATTTCTTCTGCATGTGCAACATCGCTCTAGGACTTTTGACGAAAGTGTACGTGGATTTCTTGTCCGGTGGCCCATTTGGAATGTTATAAGCCGGTAATCCTTGATTGCAAACTCGACACTCTTCCATTCTTCTCATTGCCATACTTTTAACTTTTCTTCTTATACACTTCCTTCGAAAAGATATACAATTGATTAGATTTTGAACAGATCTTGATCATCGAGCAAAGACGATCCCGTCAAACTTCGTTGCGAAGCACGAACGAAAGATATACATAAACTCACCTCGACTCACTGAATTAAACTGTGCGTCGCCAGGGTAACGTAACAGATTAGATTTATCTTCAGTCAATACTTTGTCTAATAAAAATTAGAATAGATTAATCTTGGATATTGATATCCATATAATGTCTACGAACTAACTTTACAAAACAGTGTATGCGTATAGACTCTCCATGTGTGATATTATTGTGAATTATGAAAAGAAAACAAAAATAAATTACACGATTTTTACAATATTATTTAAATATTATCTTCAATCAGATTTTCCTTCACAACATCAACAAGTATTAATTATATTTTAATGTCGTACATTTTTATATAAATATAACTTTAATTGTAAAAATAACTAGTAGCAAGTCAATTATTCGTGACATTATTTAAATGATCTATATTTAAATAGAAAATTAAAAATTTGACTTTACAGTCTTATTTTTATTTGTTATTTATATTATCTAGAAAAGAAAAAAAAAAAAGAAAAAGATATTAATTTTATATGTTTCTTTACCGTCATTATTATCTACGCCATCTCTTGGAATAGGCTAGTCGAACAGTCCTTCATTATCGACTGAATATAACATTAAACCTTCCCGAGCACCATCTAACGGCGAAAGGGTTTTATACCGAACTGCTTTCAACTATTGAATTTTTATTTATGTATATTCAAAATATTATTTACCTTGAAAAGTTGTGTTTATTCTCCTCAAGCTTCATTCTCATTTTCATGATCTTTGAATGTTAATCATAAGCATCAAAATATAATTTATGGATTAATATGTCTGAAGATTTAATAGACAATATAAATTTTGTAAAGCGGAATACGATGTTGAAATGTATAAAATCCTACATTACTCTTTTGACCTTATCTGAATCAAAGTGCAACTCAATCGTTTTATCTCATTTTTTTATCAGTTATTTTTCAATATTACCTTGGCAACTTCTTTACGTTATCTCTTTTCACACATTTTTTAGCAATGCATCTGTATTCATCGTCTTATTAACTTCCTCGTAAGAATTAGAATGATTATCTTCGTAATAGCAAATATTTTATTGTGCATTCATTTTATTTGAAATATAATCGCCCTATATTAAGATCTTTCGCTCGCTCTCTCTCTCTCTCTCTCTCTCTCTCTCTCTCTTCGATTATTGCATTCTACTACTTACCATTTTTTACCAACAAGCAAATATTGAAGTTTCCGGCCAATCATATAATCCGATCTTTTTATAAAAAAAATAAAAAATGACTTGGAGAGAATACTTGGAAAAAAGTTAGCAAAAAGAAAAAAACGACGAAATGGAACATAAAATTCGATATACAGGATTACTGTTTGTTAAGATGAAAATGTTGTGCAGCAGCGATCATTTGACACTTTTGTAATTCTATCTTTTGTTCTTTCAATTTCAACAATCTTCTTTTTACTTCCAACTCGTTCTGACGCATTGCCATTTCCTCCTTATGTCGTTTCTCCTTGTTTCGTTCAGCCAACGCAAAGTTCTTTCCCATTTCGTCCAAGAACCTTTCAAATAGCGTCGTCAAAGTAACCTTGTAGTCTGATTCTTCCCTTTGTTTTTCCGGTATTGCGTTCGATATTAACGTAGCCAATGGATCATTATTTTGATTGTTATTAGAATTGGATGAGCTCGTGGGTTGTTCCGACGTTGTTTTTGGTAGAATCATCCGAGAGTATTTAACTGATCTCGTCGGCGACGGAAAATCGTTTTCTTCGAAATATACATGTCTCTCTTTCTCATTGAATATTTCATCGAGGGCTCTCTTATGTTCCCAATGACCATAATGTCTCATTCTTCCAGGCTTTTTCAATCGTTCCCGGAAGACTAAATTTTTGTACTTACGTTCTAAAACACGCCACTTGTTCTCACACTTTTGAGGACTAAAATAAAAGCCATAATTTTGCATCTCAAGAGATATCATTTCAAACATCTCTCGTAAACTTCTGATCTGGGTCGATTGTCCGACCATCGATCGATATTTCTTATATTGACCGATGAGACAGGTGGTAGCCTTGCTAGTCCATAGATTCAAAGCACCAACGTCCGCGGTAGAGGGTATCGCGCCGTTAGCTTCGAAACTAGAGAAACTATTTTCATGTTCCTCCTCGACGTAACATTGCATCGTAGGCTCTATTTTGATTTCCATTTGATTTCCATCGACGTTCGGACCTTAATAATGAAATAATTAAAATAACATATATTACATATATGTCCCAAGGATCTGTCCAAAAAAGAGAAAAAGAAAGAAAAAGGTTTCCTTTAATCGAGCATGACTATTCAACGAGCATAACTTATTCGTGTCTATTCGTGCCATATATCGAAGATATATCGAAGAGGGGAAACGTAGGTAAAGTAAGGGAAGTAAATGAAAGGATCTTACATATTTCGGTATTAGATATTTCGAAGATATTGCAGAAAAGGTGCAAGCGAGATTTGCATTTCGCAAAATTTAACGCGCGACGGATAAATATCGACGAGACAAAATGAACCACCACGTTCTCGTTTTAAACGAGATTTACTTACCTCTCTGTTCTTTCTCGTCGTCTGCCATTTCTAAGGTTATACCTCCGTGTGACCTCCGTGAAACTTTGCACACGTCCGAGAGAGATTCCGTACACGAATGCGACTCGTGCTCGAGTCGTATGCGACAGGATCTTGCGAGGGGAAGGGCCGAAAAACCGAAGAAAACTAGTTCCAAACCGGTTTCACTCATGGAATTGGTTCCGTACGTGTCGATAAGCGGGGCCTGAAGCGGCGACCATTTTGTTTTCGCATTTATCCCTCTTCGACGATACAAGTACTTACTAAACCTTTCTCATGGATTTCGACGCTTAAAGAAATCATAAAACTACAAAAATTTACGACGAAGCGAAACGGAATAATAATAAGAAACATGCGATTATACGAAGAATACCGGTTTTGTCGGATGAAACGTTTGATAACTTCCGTCATAATGATTCTCGTCAAACATTGAACCTTGTATTTAACGAGTTTTATAAAACGATCGTACGAAAAGCAAAAAAAATTTACAAAAATTGTCATCGCTCGTTCCTAAGCATTACATCATTTTAAAACATGTTATTTTATTCAAAGTTAACTGACCGCAGATATCTTCATATCTTCCCTAGATATTTATATATTTCAGCATTGTATAAAAAATCTGACCTACATCGTTTTTTCCTCTTTTTTCTCTTTTCTTTTTCCTTTCTTTTTCCTTTTCTTTTTCCTTGTCTTTTTTCTTGTCTTTTTCCTTGTCTTTTTCCTTTTTTTTTCTTTCACTGAAAAAAATGTCGAGTTCCGTACTTCCAGACAAGACAGTTTTACAAACTCGTCTGTTACGCGAAAGTTGACGCTCGCCTAAGTCGCAATAACACATAGTTTAGAAATGCTTTAAATCGTGTTTAACGTGTGGTGCGTGGTCAGGACAAAGCGTCACGAGAGAACGCAATGAGGTAATCGTAACGAATGCATTTGTTGCAAGAGATCCGTCTCGGTCGAAGACCGACTAGTTGAACCTTTCACCGCTTTTACCGATAATTATCCGTGTTCTTAACATCGAACGATCGCATCTCTCCAACTATTTTTCGGAAGCTCGCGAAATAAAGTTATATCAAGGAATATCTGATGATATGCGATTATGCGAACTTTGATTCCCTTTAAAAATGTCTGTTACGGGTTAATTGCATTTCTACCCTTATATCATTTAGAACATTTAAATGAAAACGTTGAAACGCTTTTGTTACTTATGGATATATTAACTTACTTTCCAAAAAAAAAAAGTATCTTTTGAATATTTTAATTTGAACAGATTTATCTTACAGTATATAATGAGAAATGTATAATGTCTGCGATCAAATTTTTATTCAACATTCCGACGAAATAACGAAACATGAAATTCTCTTTAGTATTCACTATTAGGATCAAAATTACTATAAATTTTCACAAGTTTCGCTAGTAACGACGATGACGACAACGACAACGGTGACGGTGACAGTGACGAGGATGACGACGAAAATAGATTATTTCACGAAGAGTATGTCGACATGTATGTACATAGTACAAGCTTGTGCTGGTAATAACGCAAGATGCTTAGCAAGCTGCACTAAAGCACGCACCACCTACACTCTAAGACGAATCTCCAATTTCGCAACGAGAAAATCATCCTTCCATTTGGTCATTCATGCTTTCGGGTCATCGTACTTATATGTACGTTCCAATGGTTGAATCTGTGCTGTTTCCTCTCTTTTATCGTTTATCGCAAAAGAAACGTAATTCCAGTAGGCATTTTGATTGCGATTACACGTCCGTTGTGACGATATGATGATAATCTTATAATTCGATTTTTTTTTACAGAATGATACCCATTCCATGCTATTAAAACGTTCCTTTATACGTGTGCGATTGTTAATGGATCTCATTTTTAAGCCAAGTGCGTTATTAATAGATAAAGTCGAAGAAAACAATTCTAAGTCACTATTACATGTTCTAGGATGATGTTTTCAGAGCAATTTTTCAGAGCCGTGCGTTGATAACGGTACACGCGACGTAGTGATGAATTGCGCGATGCAGTTTTCTTTAGTTGTGTGAATTTATCGTGCAATTGGCCGATTAGATAGTGAAAAAGAAAAAAGCAGAAACGAGAAGATTAATCGAAATTATAAAGAAAAAATTATTAGAAAAAAACTACACGATGTACATTAACAAATGTAATACACAAACGTAAATTCGATACAAAAGTGAATTTTAATGGGAACAGTTCCTTCATATCGTCGTAGATTTAATCAAGAGATTTAATCCTAAAGAGATTAAGTCGGGAAGGAATTGAAAAAATTAATTTTTTTATTATTCTTGTATATTTTCAATATGAAATATATAAACTTATTTGTTTTCTATTTAACTACACATTGTTTATTTTTATTGACTCTACTGATAAATAAATTTAAAAAAATAAGAAATGGATAATTTCTACATATTTATCAAATATATAAAAATTAATGTATGTACTATTTTCGACGCACATGGCTTAAAGACGACACTTAGTCAAAAACGGCTTGACAGGTAATGCGTTAAGAAAGGTAACGATCTTTCGAAGAGGGAAACACCCTATTCTGAAATGCATCAACGATTCTTCGTAGTTCTTTAAAGTGCTAAAAAAGTTTGATCTCGCACTTTCTTATTTGGCATATAAATCTTATTTATCGTAAAAAATATTCAATAAATGATCGAGAAATGTCTATGCTTATTATTATCAATATTTATATTTGAATTCCAATATTTTGAAATGATCACAGAGTCGATGACCAATCAGACGAGAGTACATAAAAGGCGCATAATTTGAACTTTGTCTTCTATCCAACGAGATAAACATATACATTACTTCCAAGCTCACTTATATCTACTCAATTATTTTTTAGATATGTAAAAAGTATTTTGACTAAATTTCACGATAAACATCTTTTGTAAACAGTGTGAATCGATCCTAAAGTTCTTGGCGGTCGTTTGGTGGGGAGGAAGTGAGGGCGTAGAGAGGAGAGGGCGCAAAAGGGTGGTGGAACGGGTGAAAGATATTGAGGAGGAGGAGGAGGAGGAGCAAAAGGGTTCTCGCAAGAGAGACTCGTGTGCCGCAAGTGAGAGGCGATCGTTCGACGGGTAAGAGAGAGAGAGAGAGAGAGAGAGAGAGAGAGAGAGAGAGAGAAAAAAGTACAGGAATAGGCTCGTTTGCCTTTCATTACTTGCTGCGTGCGTGCATACGTACGGCATCAGGGTTGCGTGTGTGCAAGCAGTGCGTCTCGCTGTGTTGCCTTCGTAGCTGCCATCATTGTCGTTGTCTCCGTAGCAACGACAGATAAAACGGCTTTCTCGATGCATCGAGCAACACGTTCGCGTGTACGTCGCGTGTACGCGCGTGCCAGCTTCGATTTTCACCGATCGGGTCTGATCGTGTACGGTCGTCGTCGATCGTCGACGAACGAACGCGGTGACAGGTCTACGAACATATCTTCGACGTAGCCGAATTATGGCGATAGCTGTTTATCGTGAAAGAAAAAAAGAAACGGTAAGAGAGAATAGAAAGAAATAAGGAAAGAAAGAAAAAGAAGTAGTAGCCGCTTCTCGATTTCGATCGATCTCATCCACAAGTAACGAAGGAGTGGGGTGACCTTCCCCTCCTTTTTTCCGGCGAAAGTGGAGCCTTTCCACGAAAGCGATCGATTATACAGTGATCGCGGGACTCCGATTCGCGGGCGTTGTCTCGAGGAGCGGTGAATCCGCTCGCGCAATTGGCTCGCTTCTCGTCGATGCAGCGTCGAACAGCAATACCAGTAGCATCGGCATCAGCAGCAGTTCTAACAATCAAGAAGAGGTGAGAAGAAGAAAAATCGGCTCACTTTTCTGGATTCGTATTCCTATCATTGTCACGGTGTGAAAGTGAGTTTGTAAACTTTGAAAGAGCGTGAGAGAGAGAGAGAGAGAGAGAGAGAGAGAGAGAGAGAGAGAGAGAGAGAGAGAGAGAGAGAGGGAGGGAGAGAAAGAGAAAGAGAGAGGGAGAGGTCTGTCGCGAGCGCGTTCGGGAACGCGTGTCGTCCAAGATGGCTACCGCCGGCAACGCGTCGGCCGGCGGCGAGTCGAACGGAGCCGGTAATAATAACGTGCCTCAATGGAAAAGAGATCTGATACAACGACGAAGACAACAAAATAAGATTCTATCGAGCAACGGAGGAGCTAGCGTTAAACTTTCATCGACGGAGAGTCGCGACGATATCGCGATAGTCTGTCGTCAGGAACAACGAGATGCATCATCGACAAAAACGACGACGGTAACGACAACGTGCGAGGAAGAAAAGTTCAGTGGTAGCAGTAACGAGACTGGTACTGCTATCGCCTTTACCGATGCTCTTGCCGGTAATAGTGTTAGTGGTACCGGGGGCGGCATGGGCGGCCTCCCTACTACGATGGCTCCGCTTGTCGGCAGGGGACTCGCTAGTGGCGCCACCATTCTCCACGGTGGTAATAGCTGCGAAATTGGCTCAGTGGCGCGCAACATGCGTCTCGAGGCGGATCTCTCACTTTGCTCCGATTCGGAGGATGTAAACGGTAGTGGTGCTAGTGGTGCTTCTATCAGATCCACGGACATGGAACGAAAGATGGAGCACGTTGGAGATGATTACGAGACCGAGGATAATGTCCTTGGGACGAGAAGAACGCGTGACATCGGCAACAACGTATTCGAAGAACTTAGTGGTAACACGATAAGCAGCGTAAAGACCGCCGTAGGCGTGAGAACGAACGAAGCCGACGCCGAAAGCGACAGTTCCGAGGAACTACAATACGGTCCTGGTATCGTGAATAAACTCAAAAGCAAATATCTTAATCTTGCTCTTAGGGAAACCAATAAGAGCCGAGCGACCGTTCAACGTTTCCGACGTGCTGCCAGTTTGGAAGATCTACTCGATCGAGAGGACGAGCCGACGAATGAAAAAAATGCGAGTACCGTTTCTGGTAGGAAGTACGCTAAGAGAAACGTGGCCGGGCAAACGAGCAAAACCGGCGGCGATAGGTATCGAAATGCTAATCGTGGTAACGAAACGATGAAAAGAGCTAGAAGCGTCGAAACTCTCATAAGGTACAATGCCTGTTCATCCTCGATCGATGATTCCGGTCTCCCAAAGACAAATGCTAATACGAGGATCGCGTCGAGACAGGATCCGATTAACGATCACATCGTTCTCGTCGACAGGAGCACCGTTAAGATAGAGAGTCGACTTAGCGAGATAGACCGGCCCAAGGCGGCAAACAAGCCGAAAAGAATCAAGCCAGTTTTGGCAGAAACCGAACGGCCTCCACCCGATCTAGTCAAGACGACAATGCGCATATTCGAAGGATCGGCGAAAAAATTGAAGCCTAAAGGAGAGGTCGCTGCTAAGGTAGCGACCTTTAAGACGATCAACGATACTTTCAAAGCGCAGAATCAAAAAAAGGTACTACCTAAACCGCCGCTACAGCCTAAACCCTTTGTCAATGGTAATGCCAGGAGTAATACTACCGGTTCCTCGTCACCGAAGAAGATCGTCTTACCTCAAAAACCAACGGCCGAACTTATAGAAAAGGACGAGGATTTTCATTTCGACGGTGTCATTACCGATCCTATAGTACAATCAGTTTCTTCTGTAGTGAGCAAGTTTCAGCAAATTGAAAAGTCTCATTCGCCGTCACCTTCGCCAGAGCCTACCTTTAATAAGCTCAGGTTTTCTCCAGCACCGAGTCCAGAACCTCAAAATAGATCGAAAGTTGGTACTCTCGAGATAGGTATTAAATCTCCACCTTTAACTCCATTATTGTCACCCAGGATCTCTTCTCCAGCTGCTCAGAGTCCGTCTTCGCCAATCAAGGATGTCAATATTCCTATACTTCAGAGTTCCAGTCCAATTCGTAAACCCAGCCCTGCCAAAGAGATCGCAGAAACGGGTAAGCTCGTTCAAACCCATAATCGCCAGGTAGAAAAAGAAACGATGATATTGTCTACGAGACAAAGGTTGCCGAGTCCTAAAAAAAATGAAACCATCGAGTCATCCATTTCGAAGGATCTTTCTATTGATGAGTTGAGACTAGAACCAGAAGTAGCAGAGGAGGTAGAAGATCAAGATGAGGAAGAAGAAGAAGAAGAAGAAGAAGAAGAAGATGAAGAAGAAGATGAAGAAGAAGAAGAAGATAATGATGAAGATGGTGATGATGATAATAAAGAAGAGAAGAACAAAGATGTGGAGGATGGGCCGAAAACAATTTCTTCCTCGGCTTTAGACAATATTGGTAAAGCTGGTACGACAATGCGTTTTAGGTTCAACGATGAGTCCAATGCCAGAGAAAAGAATTATTTGCCAGGTGTGAAACAAAATGGACGTAAGCTCGAGGAAAGGGCTACGAATATATCAAAGGCTAGTAGCTGTGATATAAAGAGTAATGAATCCTTTGTTGGAATTCTTCGAGATCAGGAAATAGCTTCGAAACTTCTTCGTGAAAGATTGGCTCTAGATAAAGATAACAAGAAGAAGAACGGGGACAATGTTGAGATCGAAGAGAAGAAGGCTGACAACAAATCTCCAAAGTCTGTTAGCTTAATCAGTTCTACCACAACGTCCTATTCTCAGGGTAACGAATCTAAAACGATAAGATGTCAGAAAAGTGAATCGTCTCCGCCTCAAAAACAAATTGGTATTATAAGACCACTTGTGTCCACCAAAACCCAAATTCCTCAACAGAATCTAAGCAATCGAGAGTTAGAGAAGAATCTTATAAATCGCGTTAAAAGTATAGAACAACCTACAAAGGTTGTGGTTAGTTTGAAGAGTGCCGATGAGATACAACCAACTAAGAAGTCAACTTCCACTGGTGGTCCTGGTACTGGTGCTGGTGCTGGTGCTGGTGGTGGTGGTGGTGGTGGTGGTCTTTGGGATGCCAAACCTTGGAATCAACAGAACAACACAATGGTATTCAATTTTAGCAACAGGAAGGACGTTCCTGATTACATAGAAAACGATGGCCTTATTATCAAAAGGAAACGCGAAAAGCCAAAGGTTTGTGTAATTATTTTTCTTTTATCTTTGTACATTTAGAATTTCGAGCAAGTCGATAGAAAGCAAATAAATTTTCAATTTGAATCATTCCATGTTTGCACGAACTTAAAATATTTGTCAAATGGTAGGTAACTTTTAAGGATAAACTTGCATAATATACAATTTATTACATTCAATATTTTATTTTATAAATTACAACATTGCATTAAAAAGTTTTTCTTGTCTTTGAAAACAAAAGGAATACTTCTACAATCGGAAATATGACTTTGTTTATTATCATGAATTGTTCAATTTTCGATATTTCAATTCTCCTCCTCTATATTGTAATCTTAACTTTCAAAATCTTCTTAACTTATTCCAAAACAATAGATTTTCAATATATGATGTACAAGATCTTTCTTAATTATTCGTTTTTTTACAGGGAACACTCACTATATCCGTACGAATATCTGGACAGTACTGTCCAAATCTTTTAATTATAAGACTCATTTACATGGAAGTTTTGATGTTACAATGTTTCGTCGATCGTTATATGAATTAATAATTATAATAAGACCACAGGATATTTTCACTTTCTTCTTCGATCGTAGATCATGAACGATTCGCTTTAATTCGTCGTGACTAATGTATGAAGAATTTGAAACGAATCGAATCAAGATTCAAGGCACAACTTGTCATGTCGTACATTCTCTATTTCCAATGTGATCGGACTACGTCTTAAATACTTGTAAACGTTCTTTTCGGAAAGAGCAAATACCTCTCTCTCTCTCTCTCTCTCTCTCTCTCTCTCTCTCTCTCTCTCTCTCTCTCTCGATAAATTCGAGAGCCGTAATACAACGTGCATCGTGTTTCTATGTTACGATCGAACGTTCAATCGAGACTTCTTTTCTTCTTTCTATCGAGACGCGATCGTCGAATAAACAAGTACATTCAAAGAGGATCGAACATAATTCGTTTTTTTGCGATTAGATAAAAATCGGTCAGTTTTGTGATTAATTTCAACTTGTTATCACGTGGTAACACATTTTTTATTACTACTTTTTAATTATTTTTTTCAAAGAAAGCAGATTTCAAAAGAACATTCTAATTAAAAAATTGTACAAAATTATTACGTGTATTTTGTATTTATATTTATTTTATATTCATTTATGTCTATTGTTTCTTTTAGAAACAATAGTTACGTAAAAATCTTGTTAAAAATTAAAAGTAATTGTATTCGAGCAACATAAATGGGCATTATTGACAGTCAACATACATTCATACACGAGTATCACGCATAAACGCTTTTCTTCTTTCTTACACTCGTGTGATTTTGAAGTTACACTCGAAAGTCAGGAGGTTTTATGAACGGAAACGATGCAAGGTCGAGAGTGCTGTGTCATTCTTAATGAGGAGAAGAATTGTTTTTTTTTTCTTTTTCTTTTTTCTAAAAATATACATTAGTCGATTAATCGATGAGGATGATATCACTTACTCGTATTAAATAATCTGCTAGGAGGCGATTTATACGAGATGATTCGTTTAAGTTAAAAACCGAGAGTACGAAAGTTTCTTAGTATTTTAAATAATTTTTTATATCAATATTCTATAAGATTTAAATCGAATTAACAAATTGGACGTATACGAAATATTAAATAATATTAGAAAGAAAAAAAATAATTTATCTATACATTTTATCTTCGATTTTGTAGTAAAAATTGCTACGAACTTTTCCAACGATTCAATACCATATGACTTTTTTTCTCCATCGACATTTATTATCGAAATTCTGCCTTATCTAATCGACCTAACGGGTCTTCCTCCGATCGAATCAAATTCCGGAGAAAACCCATAGGCCGACCAAGACACGACCGTTTAACGAACCGAAAACTAGAACACGCATCGAGACCAGAACGATTCACATTGTTTTTAATTCACAATGCCACAGTTTTATAATGATAAAATATTTTCTTTTTTAATGTTTATTTAACCATTGAAAAAAAAAATTAATTGTAACAAGATCTGGTCGTAAAAAATACATTTCAGTAAAAATGAAATAAAGAAGAAAAAGTAATCAATATACATCGTCAGACTAGGCAAAAACATAATAAACTAAGTAAAATAACTAAGTTTAGAGAAATAAAACCGAAAGATATCCTATACGGTAAGTAAAAACTCGGAAACGATCTTTTCAGTCATTTGATATAACTATAATAATAATAATAATAACAATAATAATAATAATAATAATAATAATAATAATAATAATAATAATAATAATAATAATAATAATAATAATTTTGTCGAATAGACGTCAATCGACGATACTGCATCTGCCGATAAGAGAAGCGAATTTGTCGCCAGTGGTGCATGTAGAATTTGATGGTTTTATCGATAGATATAAATAGCTTTTTCGGTTGACGTTGATTCAGAAAAATTCCCGATACGTATGAACTTACCCTAACAGCTGTCTCCTCCGTACGTTATACCCTATATATAAGTTATAATAAAAAGGATTTTGTCGAGCTCACATATTCCTACGTCGCTTTGAAATCCTTTGTATCCTTGCAAGGCCAAGCAAGCAGACAGATAGATAGGTAGGTAAAATTCTTTCATAACTCGAACTCGAATAGAACGTTTCTTTCGATGCATAGGATTGTAACTTGATATTTTTAGTTATCGTCGCATGGAATAAGCTTTATTTAAACGTTATACATACTCTTCATGGCGTTCGCTTATTTTAGATTTATTGTTTGTATTGTACCATATGAATTATGCGGTAAAAGAAAATGAGACAAGATTTGTAAAGGAAATTTTTCAATATATCACAGCCGTGCTTTTTGAGATTGGAAAAAATGCATTCTATCTTTAACATTTTCGTTGACAAGTTTAACGTAAAAATCGCAAAGTTTATGTCGTTACTTATCATTGGTATACGTCCTTGTATGTTGCCATGTGAACACTTGTGTTCTTCGTTATTTCTTTTTCTCTCGGCAACTCGTGAATTAAAGAATTGCAATTTCAAGGGAACACAGGCTCCATTAAAATTTATTTCTATTTTTAGTTTCTTCTCTTTACCAAGTTTTTTCACAACAGAGTTAAGAATTTCACTTTTCCAATGTATTTTTTTTCAAATTTATAGAAGTTTACGTATATATATATATATATATTATTGTTACATTAAAAATTTCGCGAAATAGATGAGAAACAAAATATTGTAATCAAGTATCAAGACATAAAGATACAAAAAACATGTTAAAAAAGATCGATTCACTTTTAAGTTATTATATATAACAATTAGAACGAATTGAAACCTAGCCAATGAAGATAAATCATTATATTATCGCTCGAGTTAAAAGAAAAACTAGAGATATCGATGGAAGTGCGGAAACCGCATCATCCATTCGACATTCAACATGATTGACTGTCATCGTCGAGAGATAAATCAAGTTTTTTCCACCGTCAAAAAGACGCGTATTAGCATGTTTTTACTTAAACAGCACGAGATTACATCTTATTTATCCCAGCGAGCAGCGCGTTAATTAACCTTCTCAACTCCATAATAATTATGCAATCGCGTGCATTAAACTCTCGTGCGTAGGTATAGAATTGATCGTGTCTCTCATCAAAATCTTATGCTGTCACGATACGTTGAGAGAGAGAAAGAGAGAGAGAGAGACAGTATATTCGTTGAGAATATTTTACCCTTAATTAATAACGGACAATCAAAAAGTGAAAGTAAAAAGTCGACGTTTATCGTTTCGTTTACGTATTTTTTTTATCGTGTCGACATTAAAAGGAATGTTTTTTGTAATAAACCTATCCTAAACATATATTTCTTTTACTTGCAATTATATATACAAATTAAATTATATGCAAATTAAATTATAATAGTGTTTACACACGTATGTGTATATGTATACTAATCTGCAAAATCTCTTTTCTTTTGCAATTTTTTCCCTCGGCTATATCTTCAGAAGGATGTACTATAATAATTTATCAAGTCGGCCAGGCACAATAATATAAAAAAAAAAAAAAAGAAAAAACTTAATTAGGAAGTCGAAAGGAGTTAAATGGAAACGATGACACCGATGATTGGAACCCGCTGACGTTCACTGTCAGCTGACTTTATCCGGATTTGACTCGTCGTCGTTGTATTATTGTTGCTAATGTCATCGTCGCGTCCTGTTTCGATGGCGTCGCTCGATAAGAGCTCACATCCTCTTTTCCTTTCCCCTCTAACCCATCGTTTACTTTTTTTTTTGTTTCTCTCTTTCCATTATATCTTTTTTCCCGACATCGAGCTCGTAAACGGACGCCTTCATAACAGTTTTTAAGCACCGTCAGTGAAAGTAGCCCATTAAATGCAGTTTCTTCCTTCTTACAATAGTAGAGAGGGTGGAGTGGTGGGAGGAGGAACTTGGAAAGGATAGCACTGTACATACACATATGCTTGGTTTTGCTTTCTCCAAAGATTCGTTTAAATATCTAACTTCTTTTTGTTCAAATTATATTACTTCGTTTTAGATGAATCTTACTGAATGAAGATATCAATTTTATACAAACATTAACGAATGTATTTTGCATTGTTTGCTATTCTTTGAAAGAAAATGTTTTCATTTTTATTTAAAAATCTTCTTTATAAATTATACAAATGCAAGTTAAATAAGTGATATTTAATAGGAATAAAAATAAGTTATATATTTATTTTTTTTCATAATCAATGTTATAGTTGAAGTTTCGTGGGATGTTAATCATTTTTATAAATTTACATACTAATTTTAAATAGAAATGTGAACTCTTGATCAGAAAAAGGAAAGGAAGCGCGAGAATATCGAGAGTACGTTCGCGAGCCACACTTTTTCTTCTGTTAGGAACGAAACTCGATTTCGATTTTATTCTACCGAACGTGCTATTATTATTACGCAGCAGGTTTGTTGTTGTGAAAACTGCAGGAAATTACGAAAGTCTTTCCACGACTGTCGCAGTATCATCGGTTATACTTCTTTCTTCCTTTAGCT